TAATTTTTGACGATATTGTCAAAGACAATCAGTAAATCATTAATTGTAGTTTCCATATCAGTTTGTTGCTGGTCCATGTTTTGAGAGGACGACTCAATTTACAATAGATAAACAGAAATCCCATTCATTTTATTTGTTCATTGACGTAACACGAAAAAATTAATGCGAACAATGCATGTATGACTAGCATACACCGTAGCATGTAATTGGACTACGTCATCAGGTAGATCCCAATCCGCGTGATATTAGACACGTGATCAGATCTCGTGATTAGTGAAATTAGGGGTTAGTGAAGTTAGTATATGCAGCGATGCAAAAGCCTCAGATTGATGCATCGCTGGGAAGATGGTCTGATATAGAGTACACCAATAAATCCCGAATATATGAAGGTGTATCAATAAGGCGCCGACTAATGAATCAAAACAAAAATGATTCATTAGTCTTGGCGACGCGATAAAAGTGGGGTCGCGACGAGAATAGTGAGAGAAAATTTGATTATAACTTAGGAGGGCTTTAGAGTAGAAAAGCGAAATAGAATTACATTAAGAATTAAGTTCAATAGAACTATAAAATGATTGTTAAATAAAATAAGATTACTATTATTCTTAATAAACGTATACATTCCTTCGAATCATTAGTGATCTGTCCCCACACTCTATTAATAAAATAGTCCTAAGGCTACGAACACTAAATAACGAAACTACGACACCGTGACCGACGAATTGCCTTCTTAGGCAGGAACTAGCGCCATAACTTAGAGAACCCGATCAACTTGATAAAGGGGTCGGAGTATTGATCGACGAAATTATAAATTAATTAACAGAAAACTAACTGCGTGATCGTACAGTCTCACGGATTACTTGGTAGATCCCCCACATCTATTCCACCGGGTAACAACATACATGTATACATGTACATGTATATGCAGTTGATTGGCAGTGGTCGTATTTGCAAGCATCGCCTTAAATGGTGATTTCTGTTGGCTATGCTATGAGAATTCGCGCGAGTGTCGCATCAATTTTTTTATGTTTATCGATTTTCACATTACGTTTTATTTTTAGAATGTCAAAGCTTACGAAGATTCCAGTAACATTGTCCAACAAATGTTTTGAATATGCGAACAATTGCAGCATTGAATCGCGAGGAAACATTCAAAACAAAATATAAAGATTCTATTGCCGGGCCGCATAGAACGGTTATTCGTGGTGCTTTAATTGTTGCCACCGGATTTGGCGCGTTTCAGAGTCTTCGGAGCATTGGCATTTTGGTACGGTGTGAAATTGTTGGCGTTAGGCGATCAAGAATATGACTTGCGTTTTACTACTCAAAACCTTTGTTAAATAAAGTAATTATAGCATGTCGTTTTTTCTTTTTATTATGTTCACCCCTAATACAGCTAATGCGAAAATAGTTGCAATGTCAGTTTTCAAATCGCATGATAGAAAATGTAATATGTTTAATGTCGAATTCAGCACGACGAAATGTCAGAATCTAAGAGGACGTGATACTGAAATTCTCGCCGGAAAGAATGTTGCATTAGTCGGTCCATCCGGTTTGGGTAAATTTACTATTATCTCTTTGTTCCTTCAATATTATGACATTGACTCTGGCACCGTAAATGTTGAGCGTGCAAATGTCAAGGATTGGAATCTCGAATATTTGAGATCAAACATGGCATTAGTTGGTCAAACGCTGGTTCTTTTTGATATAACCATTGGTAAGAATATTGCGTATGGAAAGAAGGATGTTCACAAGAGAAGATTATTGAATCGGCAAAACGAGTAAATATTCATAATTTCGCTATGAGTTTACTATCAGGATATGATACACCTGTTTGTGAAAAAAGAATTCAGTTGAACGGCGGACAGAAACAGGTTACTATTTATTTAATACGCGTATAATTTTATTCTCAAATACATTTTATTCACATGAATTAGCGCGTCGCAATAGCACGAGCATTAATTCGAAATCCGAAACTATTATTAAATGAAGCAACATCAGCACTCAACTCCGAATCTGAAAAAGTTGTACAAGACGCTCTAAATCGTACTCAACCAAAATTATGATTGCATTTTCCGGCTAAAATTCCTACTAAACTCAAGGAGTTCAGTTTTTAATAATGAGTCGATCCCAAAGTTGAAATTGTACATATAATGCGAAATGTTAAAATACGTGATTTACCATATTAACATAAGTAACAAAAATTCGATTTATTTATTGTAAATTCAACAAAAAAAATTTATCATTGTCTTATAATTCGTAATTTAACATACAGTCAATTCTTGTTAATAGTATTATCAACACAAGTTAGAAGACAATCTTTGATATAAAGATCTCATAGATATCAATTTTATATTGTCTATTGACCCTTTGATATCAGAATATTATACTCCCATTGATCAATAGCTAATTACATGTAACTGTTTGGTATGTACATGTACATGTATTATCTGGTTATAGTATTTTCTAATACATGTATTGTGATTGAATCTGTTAATAGAATAATCTTTAGAAATATCTTTGATGTTTGTAAATGTATAATAGGAAAAGTCGAATAAAAGATCAATTATAATTATGAGACTTGGTCTCTTGAAAAATATAAAAATTACAGTTAGTTTAAACTTTAGAAGTCATATCGATTTTGATAGCGATAGCTAAACAACTCTTTAAAAAACAATCAATAGAAATTTTTTATTTGTATTATAAATGTCAAATTTTAGTTAAAATGAATTTTATCACCAATTCGCTTGTTAGCATTACTTTTGATGAAAAACATAATTATTTAATGTAAATGGACCCATTTCAAGTTACAATTGAGATTTTGAGAAGAATTGGTAGCCATTGATAATAAATATATGCAACTTAGTTCTTACCGACTTGTCAATGTTAATTTCTGGTAAGTTTATAATTGTCATTTTGCTGAACATTGAGAATCAAGCACATGAGGGTATCGAGACAACTAAAATTCAAATACGTAATTGATTTGGTGTAGCGTGTGACTTTTATGTACGATGTCTTATCACGTGATAATCGTAATCTCGTGAGAATACTTCCATTCGATTTAATCATAACAAATCGAATGGTGTGATAGATATCGCAAGAAAAAGTCACTGATCGTTAATTTATATTAAAATTTTGACGTAATACGACTTCTAGGTGCGAGATCTTGATACCCAGCGGTCGGAAACGCACGAATAGTTATAGCGAATCATTTTGCAGAATTTCGATCACAGAATATCTGAGATAACACATTTCAAGAATTCAAAATTTTTTTATCTTAATAGTTTACTTATTTAGTTTGATATATAATATTTAAAAAATGTTTATAATATTTTGTTAGGGCTCTTTACTAATTGTTCATGCAA